TCCCAGCCCATGGGGGTGTGGCGCTAGTGCTGGGGGTAGGAGCAGTGTGTGGAGCCCTGTGCGCTACCCCCTTTCCCCTCCTAGGAGCCGGGCCTGCTGCCGGCCGCTTGCCAGGGCCCGATATTCCACCCCCCACAGCGCTGGGTCGCGTTGGACTCCCCAGGTCACACAGGGCATGTGTGGCAGAACCGTGGATTAAAGGCAGAGTGATCGGTCAGGCCCCCTCCCCGTGGTATCTGGGCCCCTCGTAATTGTCCACGTGTTTCTCCTCAGAACCCCTTGCTGCCCCCCACCCCTTGGGTAGCTCAGTGCTCCTCTCCTCCCGCGACCCACGACAACAGAAGCGGAGAGAATGAGGCTGTGTCTACACTTAGGACTGTCGAGTACAGATATGACACCCCCCCCCAGCACAAGTATAACTCGGGGCAGGGACAGTGAGGCCCGAGTGGAGAGGAACCAGAACCGTAGGGTGCTCACCCCAACGGCTCTGCATGGCCCCACCGGGCCTCCCCATCTACACAGCTCTGCTTAGCAGTGCCACCTCCTGCTGCTCCACCCATGCTGCCACTGGAGGCTTTCACGCTGCCACTGGAGGCTTTGGCCTCCTTGCCAGAGCCTTTCCCTGCCCCTTGTAGCTACACGCTGCCAGGTGGCAGCAACCTTTTCCCACTGAAGCATGTACCAAGGTCAGGTGACTTGCCCAAGGTTACACAGGACTTTTGTGGCAGAGAGAGCTCTAACTGACCCGGCTTAGCGCTCCAGCACCTGAGTTCTAGCTCCGTGACTTGACCCCAGCCCCAACCCTCTTTGTTTTCGGTGGTCACCTTGTTATTTATGGCGACTTCCGTCTGGGTGAGGCAGACATGAAGGAAGAACCTTTGTAACAGGGCCATTATAAATTTGCAATGCTAGACAAAACCCTAGCAGAAAAGGAAACAGCAATCTCCTTAGCTGCACAAGCCCCCAGAGGGGAACGGTGCAATGCCGCGGGGGAAGGGGGGAGTCCGACGTTGCATTCAGTTTAATGAAGAAGCTTTCTAACTAAAGCATACTGTTAGCGTCAATTATTAAACAGGCAGACGGTGCATCTTCAGTACATTTGAGTTATTGATTGCTGCCTGTTCAACTGCTGAGTGTATGCACGTCGGCATTAGGAAGTTAGCAGGCGGGGGAAGTCTTCTCCCACTTGGAAAGAGCAGAACAAACCCATTTGCTGAAGTTGCAGCCCAAAGCAAAGGACAAGGGCGGGGTGAAACTTTCCACCAAAACGTTTTTTCATTGGAAAATTGATTTTTTTTATGACACACTTTTCCCCCCCATGTAAAAGGTGTTTTCTGTGGAAAACTTCTGATTTTTAGGGGGGGTTAAAAATGCCTGAAAATCAAACTATTTCAGCCAAAAGCCAGAATAGTTTGATTCTGCAGCAGTGCCTTATGGGAGTTGTTTGAGAGCTTCATGCTCCCATTCTCCTCTATGGCAGAGGGATCTCCAGCCAGCCTTCATTTCCCATGATGCATCTTGGTCTTTTGATGCACCGCCTCTTCTCTCCAAGGGTATGTCTACACTGCAGAGTTTGGTAGGAAAAACAGGACTTACATCCACACTGCAATCGCGTTCTTTCGGGGGGAAAAAAATCGAAGGAACAGAGGGGGTTTTCCGACTTTGGTCAAATTCTTTCTACGTGGAAGAAGCCTTTTTCCGAAAGAGCTCTTTCAGCAAAAGGCGTGTGTGGACAGGGAAGAGGGAGTTCTTTCGCAAAACAAGGAAAGAGGGGAAAATCACAGGCACCCTTTTGGTCACTCCGTCCACAGCAATCACAGCTGACATGCAAGAGAGCGTCCATTCAGTGTGGATGCTCCCTTTCAAAAAAGCAGATGGCTTTTTCAATGCAGTTTTGCAGTGGGGGAGGGAGTTCTTTCGGAAGAAGAGGAAAACGCACAGGTGCCCTGGTGGCCAGTCCGTCCACAGCAATCACAGCTGACATGCAAGAGAGCGTCCATTCAGTGTGGATGCTCCCTTTCGAAAAAGCAGATGGCTTTTTCGATGCAGTTTTGCCGTGGGTTCGCTCTCTTTCAGAAGAAGTTTTTCAGAAGATCTCTTCCAAAAAAAGCTTCTTCCGAAAGAAGCCTGCAATCTCGACGTAGCCCAAAAGGGGAGACCGTTGGGAAGCTAGGGATGTGTAGTCAGATCCACTGACATGACTCAGTTTCCCAGCACAATGCTTGGGAATCACTTGGAGTATGTCTAGACGGCAGGGCTATTTCGGGATACCGCTGGTATTTTTCGAAATAATGGACACATTATTTTGGCATCCCTGTAACCCTCATTCCACGAGGGTTAAGGGATGTCACAAAATAGCGCGTTATTTCAAAATTTGGTGCTGTGTAGATGTGCCAGATTTCAAAATTAGTAATTTCGAAATACAATCGAAATAAGACATGCAATTTGCTTAGCACAAATTGTGTATCTTCTTTCAAGTTTAGGGTGCTGTGTAGACGTACCTTGGAGAACAGGGTATAAGTGTGATGGGGTAAACCATTCCGCAGCTCTCAGCGGGGGGGAGTGGAAGGTCCTCCATGAGGTGGTCCCGTAGTCCAGTCTCTTGGACCATGTAGAGAAGCAAGAATTTACCCTACATGAATGAGTGACAGATCCCTCCTTAATGACATGTGCATCGTGCCGTGAACTCTTGGCCTTATGGAGATGCTGGCTGTAGGATCTGCAAAGAACAGGCTCCAGTGGGGACAGACCGAATGCATCTCCTATTGGGGCACATGCTGGCAAGCGCCAACTTCTGGGCTGCAAAGATGAGGGCCCAGTTCTGGTTCTGTTGAGGCTGAGCCCTTTCTAAATGCCCCCTTCTCCCTCACTGTTCGTCCACCTCCTGTTTGGTCCTCATGCGCTGAGCAGGTGAAATGGCTCAAGGATTTACAAGTCTGTTTCGTTTTAGCTAATGGCCACTCCAAAGCGCTGCAGCCCACACCGTTGGTTGCAGAGGAGAGAATTTCGTTTGGGATCAACGCCACATGCTCCATTACCACCACCGTCCAAGCCATAAAGAGCGGCTATAATGAAGTGGACGGTCGGCATATCGCCAAAGAGGTCACAAGCTTTCTTCCTTGCATTCAGCTCTTCTTGGAGCAAAGTCCCTGCTTTCGCTATAACTTCCTTTCTCTGGTGCTTTTGCTCAACTCCGGGGTCTGAGTCTCCTTTCATGTACGCCCAGATCACACTAATACAAATCTCTTCACTTCTGGGGAGTTACTCCAATTTTGCACCGAAGGAGGTGAGCGGAGATTCAAATCAATTTATGTTACAGGAGGGAATTTGTTTTCTCAAACACCATATGTTTAAGTTGCTATGCAATTGACAACTAGAGCTGAGAGAACAATTGATTTTTGGTTTGATGGTCAAACCGAAAAATAATAATAAACACCCCCAGCTCTGTTTCCAATGGAAATGGAATTGTTTCCTGTTCTGTATGAAACGAAAAACCAAAGGCAAAAATAAAAACGGTAGTCAGGCCAAATGAAATGCTTTAAACGTCGACTCGAAACAGAGTTTTCAAATAATTGTTGACAATTTAAAAGGATGTTTTCTCGATCAAATGCTTTGAGTTAAAGCTATCCGGAGGAAATGAAAGTCAGAATGGCTTGGTTAAAACTGGACAACAACGCGTTGAGATTTTTTGCAGCTGAAATGATTGTGCCTAAGTAAGTTTTGAAGCCCCAAAAAACGTGGCTTTGGCCAAATTTCTGTTGGCTGAAAAAAATCCGTTCAGGTCTATTCGTGATATGGATGTTAAAATCCCTTCTCCGGGATTTCCCTCATCCTCAGCCCAGTGTCTACAGGCAGTAGCCTTGCAGACTTTCCTTAGCCTCCCACATCCAGGTTTCTAGGGTCCTTCCCTGAAAGATCTGCCCATTCCAGGCTCAAAACATCGATTCCTCCTTCCACTTCCAGAGTTTGCTCCTGGCAGGCTTCTTCAGTCCCGAGGGAGCTGCTCTGGATCTTCGTACAGGTCCCCGTTGCGCTCGATATGGATGTTTGGGCACCTTAGCTCTGATTTCCAACAGTTTTTACCCTTCGGTTACTGGCGTGTGCTCTTGACCTGAGCTCCATCTTAGCCACGCTTTGGTGTTAGCTGGAGAGCGAGAGACAAGTCATAGAGCTCTCTGACAGAGCTTGTTAAAATCCTGCTTTGAAATGACAAAAACTAGGTTATTCATGCCTAAAGCTGGCTGGGTGGATGGACTGTGGCACCAATCCAATTAAACCAACTAGTCCAAATAAGTATGTCCCCTTTAAGAAAGTCTTTGTTGGCTGCTCCTGTCCACCTAGGCTACTGGTTAACCATTCACATCCCTAGTGGGTATGGACAGAGCTTGTTAAAATCCTGCTTTGAAATGACAAAAACTAGGTTATTCATGCCTAAAGCTGGCTGGGTGGATGGACTGTGGCACCAATCCAATTAAACCAACTAGTCCAAATAAGTATGTCCCCTTTAAGAAAGTCTTTGTTGGCTGCTCCTGTCCACCTAGGCTACTGGTTAACCATTCACATCCCTAGTGGGTATGCTTACAAATACCTCAACTCAACATCCACCACAAAAGTCTCTGAGCTAGTCGTCCCTGCCAGTGCGGTACCCATGATAGACACAGTCCGGGCCATGTGTGGTGGAGCTGGAGGGATGCATGAGCCGTTCTGACTTTGATTCTGCTTTTGTAAAACAGTTTATCTGTGCAATGTTCTAGCTTAGTCCAAAAGTGCTAAAATAACCCCACATACAATCCCCAATTCCTTGCTTCCGCCGACCCAACTTCACCGCTGGCAATTTTTCCTTTCCAGATGGGGATCATTTCCCGTGACAGCTCAACACCAGTTTTCCTGGCTCGCAATATTGCCGGACACCTCGCGGGGCCCTTACGCACCATTGGCGCGGTGGCTGTGGGCCAGTTTGGTAAGTAGAAATTGGGGAAAAGAAAAGTAAGAGCATGAGAGTTGCGGCTAGTCGGACCGGCTCTTCCAATATTGCTCTGTTCTGCCCTACAATGTGTACATAGGACTTCCAGGCTATGTCGACACTGCGCTGGTTTTGCGCAAGAAATATGCAAATGAGACTAAGTGTGGAATATCGCCGAGCCTCATTTGCATAATTAATGAGCAGCCACTTTTTGCGCAAGAGGCTTTTGTGCGAAAAGGAGCCGCCTCCCTGGCTCTTTCTTGCGCAAAAACCCCCTCTTGTGCAAGAGCTGTTTTTCCGAAATGGCATTTCTACCTTTTCCTCCAGCAGTTTCATTTCTCTTCTGGGGGATGGCTTCTGCTTTTTTGTTTGTGGACGTGCTGTAGGTTTGCATAGAGATGAGCCAAACCAAAGCCCTGCTGCCAAGTAACCCTGAACTTTGGGGAGGTTCCAATCTAGAGTTTGGCTTCATGGCTGGTCCCTACCCTTACACTAGAGCAGGGGGGTTCAGATGATGGGGCGTGACCCAGCCCTGGGGGGTGGAATGTCAGGGAGCTGGGGCTCATTGCTGCAGGGGGATCAGGTGAGCAATGGGGGGGGCTAAGGCCGGTCCCGG